CGGTTGCTAGGCTGGAGCGAGGATCAACTGAAGAATTCTCGGCTGTTTTTGGACTTCTAGGACATTTCCGGCCCTCTTCTAGACAAGACCTTGACCATATGCAGCATTAATGTCAATGGGATTCACAGCAAATTAGAAGCAGGAGTCATTGATTTAATGTTGAGAGACTATTCAGTAATTTGTCTTCTTGAAACTAAAACTGAAAGGCCTGATTTTTCTCATTCTTACTTCAACAATTATCAAAGTTATATTTTGGAAAAGAATGGCGTGGGAAGACATGGTGGTATTCATGGCATTTGTATTCTCATTCAAAAAAATATTTCATATCATACCTCTAGAATATTGGGCACTACCTCAGAATCTATTATGTGGATTCATTTTAATTCATTTTGTTTAGGCTTTGAGTTTATATTAGGAGCAGTTTATTTGCCTTGTGAAGGGTCAGTTTATCATAGTAATGATGTTTTTGATCACCTTTATCAGGACCTATTATATTTGAAAAGCACATATAATGTGCCCTTCAGCCTAGTAGGGGACTTTAATTCAAGGACTGGGTTACTTGACGACTTTATGGTAATTGATAATGTTATTTCTGAATTTTCAGGTTATTGTTCTTCAAATGATAATGTTGATTTTAAGAGCTCGCTTACTGATGATGGATATGATACTAGGAGGCATAATATGGATTATTCTATTAATAATAATGGTAGACAGCTGATTGGCATTTGTCAGAGTTTTGACTTGAAGAGAGTGAATGGGAGATTTGGTAGTGATAAGGGTGTTGGTAGCTTTACATGTTACAATAAAAATGGAGGGAAAAGTGTGGTTGATTATGTCATTGCATCTGTTAGTTTATTTCAATATATTACTCATTTTGAGGTTGACATTTTTGATAAGTGTGTTTCAGATGTACATTGTCCATTGAATCTGATGTTTTCAAATAAACTGATTCCTATAAATGAAGATGTTGAATTGAGAAAAATTGAAAATAGGGTTGATGCTCCCGAAAAAGTGAAATACACTTCATTTAAGTGTTCTAAAGAGAAGGCATCTGAATTTAAGTTGAAACTTGATCAAAGTATTCCAGTACTGATGAATGCATTGGAAATGGTTGAGAAGTCATCGACACAAGGTAATATGGATAATTTTAGTACTGTATTGGCAAATTCATTTTTGAAGACGGCAAAGGAAGTCGGTATATGTGAGGATAAAGTCTGTAAGAAAATTCATTCTAGGAAACTTATCGTGGAGAAGAAACCATGGTTTGACACAGAGTGTCAGCATGCCAGATCAAGATATTTTAATCTAAAAAATAGAATTAAACGACAGTTCAAAGGTCTAACTTTGCGTGATAAAGAACAAAAAATGGCTGAAATTAATGCTGTTGCAAAAGATTATAGGAAATTGCTACGTAGAAAGGAAAAAGCGTACACTAGGCTCTTACACAACAATCTTCATATACTTAAGAAGGATAGTCCTCAAGAGTATTGGAAAATTTTGGATGGACCGAAGCGTAGCTCTTGTCCAGCCAAGGTCTCTTTAGATGATTTTGTGCATCATTTTAGTAGTTTGAATAATGTGCAATGTGCAGCATCTGAAACACATTATGTGGATTTTGACCAGTCAATGGGCAATGATGAGCTGAATGCCCCTATCTCGGTTGATGAAGTTATAAAGATTATCCGGAAACTAAAGAATAATAAGGCATGTGGTGTAGATTTGGTTAGAAATGAGTTTTTGAAAAATTGTTCAGCAGCTGTAATTGGTTGTATTACTGCTTTTTTTAATGTAATACTGGAGAGTGGTCTAGTACCAAAAGACTGGTGTCTAGGTAGTATAGTCCCTATTTTCAAAAATAGAGGAAAGGATACAGATCCAGATAACTATCGTGGGATAACACTTTTAAGCTGTTTGGGAAAATTGTTTACTTCCATCTTGAATTATAGGATAACAATTTATTTCGAAAATGAATGCAAGCTTGGAGAAGAACAGGCTGGCTTTCGTGCTGGCTATTCTACAACAGACCATATTTTTGTTTTGAAATCCCTGCTTGACATTTACTTGTCTAAACGGAAGAGAATTTACTGCGCTTTTATAGACTATAGAAAAGCTTTTGATATGGTTGATAGGGTTTCACTTTGGCACAAATTATTGAGGTCAGGGGTGGATGGTAAGGTGTTCACAGTTATTAAGAATATGTATTCTCAAGCAAAATCGTGCGTGATAGTAGATGGTCAAATGTCTGAGGCTTTTCAATGCGATGTTGGTGTTAGGCAGGGTGAAAACTTATCACCACTGCTCTTTGCAATATATCTTAATGATTTCGAGGATTTTCTCAGTAAACACTTTAAAGGTCTCAAATTTTTAGTTGAAAATGTATGTGCTGACATTTTAGATAAAGAAGTAAACAAAGATCTTTTCTTACAATTATACACATTGTTGTACGCAGATGACACCCTAATATTGGCTGACACAGCAGAGGAATTGCAAGTGGCTTTGAATGCCTTGTCTCAATATTGTAAAATTTGGAAGTTAAGTGTTAATGCTATGAAAACTAAAGTACTTATATTTTCAAGAGGCAAAGTACGTAAATTTCCAGTTTTCAGATTTGGAGAAGATGAAATTGATGTTGTGGATGATTTTGTATATCTTGGGGTTCAGGTTAATTATAATGGAAGTTTTAAAAAGGCTATTTCAAAACAGGTATCACAGGCCAGGAAAGCCCTCTTCTCTATGTCATTAAAGGTTCAAAGACTCAAACTGCCACTGGATATTCAATGTGAATTGTTTGACCAACTTGTATTACCAATACTCATTTATGGATGCGAAGTGTGGGGATATGAAGATCTGAGTCAAATTGAAATATTCCATAGAAAATTTCTCAGGTCAGCGTTATGTGTAAATAAATTTACACCAGATTGTATGATATATGGAGAAACTGGGAGGGCATGGCTAGCTAACAGTATCAAACATCGAATGGTTAGTTTCTGGTTAAGAATAGTAAAAGGTTCTCCCTCTAAATATTCAGTCAAATTTTATTTTTTGCAAAGGTTAATTAGTCAGAATGTAGATATGTCTACTTCTTTCAAGTGGTTATCTTGTATTGAAAAAATATTGAACCATGCTGGTCTTGGTATTGTTTGGCTAAAGCAAGGGGAAGGATTTAGCAATAGTTGGATACTGAGCACTCTGAAGTTGAGATTAAACGATATTTCAAAACAAGATGTGATGGCAACAATTTGGACAAACAGTGTGTGCCTAAATTATAGGATCTTTAAAGAGGATTGTCTCCTTGAAAGGTATTTAGTTTTGCTGAGTAAAAAAGATAGAATAACACTGAGCCGTTTTAGATGTAGGTCACACCGTTTACCAATTAATAATAACAGATTCAAAGAAGCTGTTAATGAAATTAGTATTGAATGCCCATGTTGTGATATGCATGAGTCTGGTGATGAATTCCATTATGTTTTTGTATGCCCTTTTTTCAGAAAGGAAAGAGAGTTATATTTAGGTCGCAAAGTAATAGTTAAACGCCCTTGCACATCACACATGTTGAATTTATTTTCATGTTCCGGTATAGGACAGCTGAAGAAATTAGTATTCTTCTTAAGGATAATAATGTCATATTTTGCTCGTCTATATACATGTAAATCTGAACAATCCAATCATATGTCGCCCATAAAAAGAAATGTTACAACCCGAAGTGGTAGGTTAATTAAGCAACCAACAATTCTTGATCTGTAGTACAGTCTTTCTTTAGGTCAAGTATAGTTTTGATGGTTTGTTTGTTCTTTTGTTCATTTTTTTTTTTTTTTTTTTTTTTTTTTTTTTTTTTTGGTTAGTATACTTTTTGTTTTGTTTGTCTTATTACATTATATTCCATTATGTTTTTGTTTATCCAATGGACGATTATGGCGTATTTTGTTAGTCTGCATATATCTTAACAATCCAATCACAACTCACTTACATGTACAAAAATGAAACTTATAATTTCTTTTTTAGTTAAGACAATAATGTATTTAAACAAAAAAAAATTTGTAAAATTATTTTTTGTTTTTATCTTTCTTTTTCTTTGTGTTTGTATTTAGATTGTTCATGTGGTATTTTCCACTTTTCATGTATGCTTGCCATATTGTATAATATTGTATTTATGTTTAGCATAGGCTAGGTTTAGATTATTCCTATTTATCGTTATACTTTTATAATGTTGTTTTGTTGTATTCTGTATTCTTTGTATTATTAAGCTATGTTTGTATTCTTTATTATGTATCATTATCATGACATGTACATGTGTTGTACTCTCATACCCCAGAAGGGGGTCGAATGAGTCAATAAATTCTATTCTATTCTATTCTACTTTCAAATTTATTTTCATCTCCTTATCTCTGTTACTTCATTTATGATACCCCCACTGCACATTAAAAATACGAAGACAAAATAGTAAATAGTGTTACAAACAACACAACACAACACAATTGAATAAGGCAGGTGAAATTGATCAGGCTTTTTATTTCATATAAACATTCGATTTTAGGCTTTATCTCAACTTATTGTGTAAATTATTTAAAAATAATTCAATTGAAAATGGTTAAGGAATTCACTTTGTATCTATTCAGGATGTGCGTTGAGAGTTGGAGGGTTCTTAAAACCAAAGCGGTCTTACGAACCCAGTGTAGAAATCAGTCTACAATATCAAATCAAGGAATGGCAGTGATCATTCGTTAAACGTAATTAATTCTGGAAAGGTAAGTTTTTGGATTTTGTTTGCCAAATGTCAAAGAAGTTTTTTAAGATTCATCTTCCGTTTCCAACTCTAGGTTAATTACAAAATTAGACGACAAAACAAAAGATAATTAAATGGTATAACCAGATACCCTAATCTATTTGATACTCAAAAATGTAACAATTTCTAAAAGGCCACTAACGGGAATTCCTATATGTGGACCTGCAAGGTTCCATTCCGAATAATGGCTTTAACCTTGCAGTTGCTTGTATGTATTCTAGAGGGACGTTTCCATCTGGAAGTCTCCTCCCCAGTATTTCGGATCATCATGATCGTTGAAACCCATCTCTGGGCAATCTCCTTCAACTGCGCAGTCCCACGGGTATTTGAACAAATTTTTCACGGTTAAGGCCCACTTGGTCGCAGGAAATTTTATGTTTAAGACGCTTTCTGTGAAGTACTCTACAGCCATCATGTGGTCGCATCCGGCATCAAAAAACGGACATCCGGGTTGGTCCTTGCCCCCGAACGGGTACCAGTCGTGGTCGCCGCACTGCAATTGTGGGGAAGTGAGTCAAATATGCGTTAAAAGAGACAACATTTACGCAATTGTATTGACTAAGAGGCGAATTTCAAGAATTACCTTAAATAGTAAATTGTGAACTTATTCAGTTGTGAGACCTTGCTATATCATAGTTGTTTTGTAAAAGATATACGTGCTTTGCTAGCAATCACTATCAATCATCATATTTATGAAGCCCATTCACGATATGCTATTAGTATTCAGTAATAATAATGATAACAATTATAATATTAATGATGATATGTATATAATGATAACGATGATAATGATAATAATAACGATAAAAAATGATTATAACAATGGTGATAATAATCATACAAGAATGATAATAGTAATAATAATGATAAAGATAACAATGAGAATGATTATAATGATGATAATAATAATGATGATGATATTACTACTACAACTAATAATAATAATAATAATATAAATAATAATAACAAAAAAAATAATGAAATAGAAGAAATAATTTTGTTTAGCCCGGGTAACCTCGTGACAACAATGCTGTTCTTCCTAATGACTCTGCAAGTATTATCGTCCCAGGATCCGCCCTTGCAAAGTGACTACAAAGATTATGCCAACTGCCCTTAACTGGATGACACTGTGAAATCCATTTGTAATCTGCAGCATTGAAATATTGTGTCTTTCTAGAAGTGCCATCCTTTATCATGTTTAGTTATCTTTGTTTCTTTACCGCACTTGTTTCAGTCTTTAAAAAAAAATCCGAGATTGTCCCATGGAATCGCATATATCTCCCGAGGAACATAGTTTCAGTAATCCCACCGGCCGTCTCCAGTCATCCCCAAGTCATAAAACCTCTGCTAAAAAACGAATATTAAACTTGATCGTAACGACTTCAAGGAAATTTCAATTCCCTACTGTATTACCAACAGATATTAATCGTGCTCGGATTGCATAACATATCCTTGTGATATTCCTATCATTTTTAAGTCAGTAGAGCGTTCGCCTCACAACCGGGAGGTCGTGGGTTCGTACCCCGGCCGCGTCATACCAAAAGACGTTAAAAGACGGGAGTTGCTGCTTCCTTGTTTGGCGTTCAACAATAAGGGATAAAGCAACTTCGATCTGGCGCTGCTCAGTGGCTGCCGGGCTCACGATCAATTGGGCAAAAAGAATTTCCATTTTCGGTTGAACTTAATAAAATATGGAGCTGACTTTAAAATATTATTATTATTATTATATCTAAATAAGGAACCACATTAGACTATTCAACTTGCCTAAGGGTGATTTTGTTAAAGTCTTCGCAATCATGTGGTTCTTTTATTTTCAAAAGTGTATTTTTGTTTTTTCATATTAATTGACAAGAGAGGAAAAGAGAGAGAAAATGGTTTACAAATGTAACTCACTCCATCTCTCACCGCCCTACTGATGATTCCAAAGAGGGCCGCCAAACTAAATATGCCCCCCGCCCCCCCCCCCCCCCCCCCTATTCGCCTCCGAACATACATACTGCTACTTTTACCCTACTACTACTACTACTGGGCCTACTACTACTACGAATAATAATAATAATAATAATAATAATAATAATAATAATAATCATGTTTGTATGATAGTTATTATCATTATTATTACTATTGCCATCATCATCAGTATCATAATTGTTATTAGGGTAAGGTGGGCCATTTGTGGGAAATCTCGTTGTTGTTGTTGTTGAAATTGTCTAGCTTGTTTTCTAATTATTACAAATCAATTTGCTAATGCCTCTATCTGTAACATTGGTATTTATGCATGGAAATTTATATGTACCTGCAGATATTACTTTATAGTATGGTTCGTTATTCCTATATTTTTAAAAATGTGAATATCCCAGTTGCCAGGAATTTTATCAAAGTGTATTATTATGAATATTTTTATCGGCATTGTCATTATTTTTGTATATTATTGTTATTTTCATTACTATTATAGTTATAAACATTATTAGTAATATTATTATTATTATTATTATTATAAAATACCTCCTCCATTAATCCTGCACCACCAAAAAGTAGCATGTCTCCATCAGTATGTATGACATCTACAAACATGGCGTCTGACCGATCTAGCTTGCATTGATTGTCGGTACCACCGAACAATGGGCCAGCAGGGTCTAGTCCTGAAACAAATACAACAAAATGGACAACGTGCTTTATACATACATATATATATTGGTATTTATATAGCGCCTTTATGTTATTCTCCCACTCCAGCTCTCTCTCTCTCTCTCTCTCTCTCTCTCTCTCTCTCTCTCTCTCTTTGTAGGGAATATATATTCCACGTCGGATGAAATTTAAAAAGAAACTCCACACACACACAAAATCCGCCTTGCAGAGTGTGTGTGTCTCTCTCTCTCTCTCTATCTGTAAGTATTTACAAAGATTCAGTTACGTATGCCTGTTACAGCTGAGATTAGTTTTTAATTTTAATGATGATCACAAATTCATGAAAGGAACCGATATCAACATTTCCAAAACAACTGAATAGTAACTTCAGACCAATTCAAAAACTTGGAAAGAATGTCTCAAATAATCCTCACAAACATTCGAATGAATCATCTTTTGACCCGTTCTTACCTCACTCACACCGCCCAACCGTCACCAAACCGATCGATTATTTTCCATTAATGGTAATAATAATAATAGAAATATTAATAATGATAATGGTGGCTCAGTGAATAGAGCGCCCGTCTCATGAACGGGAGTTCGTGGGTTCGAACCCCGACCGAGTCATACCAAACACTTATAACAATGGGACCTTCTGCCTTCTAGCTAGGCGCTTAGCATATTAGATTGGAGAAGGGTAATAACATATTATGTTATGCAGGGCCCGCTGGAAGAGCAGTTTTATAACTGAAGTGGCTACCCTGGGTAAATCAAACTTATATGATAATTGTAAGTTCCTGTATAGCGCACATGTCTGCCAAAGTCGTCACCCCTAGCACTCCACAATCATTAGCTTGTCGTTAGGATGGCTGTCATTATGGCACTCTAGCATTTCAAGGAATTACTCCTGCCATGTACCCATTTGCCTCACCTGGGTGGAGTGTGGCAAATGAAAATTAATGTTTTGCCACAGGATTTATAGTGCTGTGACAAGGATTCGAACACCACACCGTGTGCTTCTCAGTCCACCGTCTTATCCGCTCGACCACTACAGCTCTATAATGTAATATTTGGTTCCGTTTAGTGGCGGTCTCGATGGCGTAACTATGAAAACCATGACAAAGAACAACGTTTTTTTTTCAGATACGACGCTTTAAACCGCGGCGATTTTCTTTTTTAACAATGAATCGCTAACTGCAAAACGCTTCACAATTTTGTATCTTATAGGCCAGGGCTCAGTGAATACTCGTAAGACCTATGTTGTGAGATGTTAATATTCATTCACACGTTAAAACTAAACACGAACTATTTTGTTTACCGCGTCATATCTTTCGTCTTTCTTACCTGTGACACGTCCGACTCTACCACCGAGTGCCTCTCCGGCGTAACCAGCTATGTGAGCTCCCAGACTGTGGCCGATGATATGCATGTCCTCAAACCAGGCGCCCTTATTGTCGACCAGCTGCTCGATCATCTTACCAATGATCCTTCCTACCACACGGGTATTGTCACGTGGGTTCGGATACCACTTACTGGACGCGCCGGGGCTCCAGTCCACGCAGATGACATTCCTTGGCTCATCCTAAAGACACAATCATAACAATTCTTGTATTTCGTATCATCAAAAATATGGACTTGAGGGCTTACAATATGCAATCGTTTTTCGTAGAAGTTTAAAATAATTCAACTCAGTTTATCTGCTTTAGTCGTCAAATTGTTTGACAACAATGACGGTCGCATCCTATTGGGTACCCATTCAACACCTGGGTGGAGAGTAGCAAGTGCAGGTTAATATCTTGCCAAAGGATATTAGTGCCGTGTCGGGATTCGAACCCTCGACCTTCGCATCTCCAGACAAGCGCCTTAAACCACTCGACCAAGACACTCCCTTGTGTGTTCAAATGTGAATTGATATATTTACTATTATCTGCAATCTACATTACGTTGGACATTAATTGTTCCTCTTAGCATTTTCAATGTATAAATATATATATAGTAGAATGCAAACAAGATTACCCTGTCTACCAACGCTTTCCTCAAGTTCATCCATAGTGGTTTTGCCATCGTGTCTGTCCATCCATGAATCAAGAAATGGGTCGGCCAGGAGGGGTTAAAACCCGAACTTATGACACTGTCCGTGTTGGTCCAGTCTAGCATCTGCATGCAATTATAATATAATAAAAATAATAATAATAATAATAATAATAATAATAATTATAATGAAATAATACAAGATATCACAAAATGATATTAATAATGATAGTAATACAAAATAATAATAATAATAATCCAGCTTTTATGGCCGAGCTACTATGATAAGGCACTCAAGCATTCAAGAAATTTCTTCCTACCGGGTACCCATTTACAAGACCTGGGTGGAGAGTGGCAAATGTAAACTAGACTTTAATTCGTCACTTAGACGAATTAGGTGATACGTATGATAATGGTTGACTTAACGAATAATGCATTACACGATATATTATTTTGTAAAATGCTTCTCCCATTTATATGCTTCTCCCATTATGATCTATTCATATGTCAAGATTAAATTGTGTCTCCTTGATCATCATGGATCTAGGGAAGATAGATTGAAACAATATATGACCTTTGACCCTGTGCAGTAACCAGTTACACATTTGACTCTAATTTACATCATGAAGAACACCTTTTGACGATTTTTATCTTATTTAAAGAAATGAAAATGTAATTGATAAATGATTATCATCATTATGATAATGATGATCATGATGATCATGATCATGATCATGAGCGCGATCATGACATCTTATTAAAAAAATGAGGGTTGATTTAGATAGCATATAGTCTCAGCTACAACATACTCAAAAATCAACAAAATCCAAGCCGAAATAACGGCGATATTGCTCGCAAAAGACAGGAATGTAGACTCCAGATTTGAGAAAAAGTCATCTCCCATAGGGATTACACGCAAAAAGTAATGGATTAAGTGAAAATAGGGTAATAATAAAGTAAAAAGGGTTATTTATGACATTATTTGCGAATCTACGTGTTTAAATAATCAAAGGAGATGGTACAGTGAAGGTCAAAAGGAAAAAAAAGTGAAAAAAAAAGTGTTGGAGACACCCGGACTCGAACCAGGGATCTCGAGGTTGGAAGTCAAGTGCGTTACAGATATACCAAAACATCTCCCATAGCGATTACACGTAAACAGGAAATGGAATTCAGAAATCCTACTTTGCAAGTGAAATATGAGCATGATCCCGGCATCTAATCGAAAAATAAAGGGCACACTTGTGATAGCTCATTTTTTCAGCTACAACATATCCGAAGCTCAGCGAAAACGAAGCTAAAACAACGGAGATTTTTCTCGCGAAAGACAGGAGTGTAGAATCCAGTTTTGAGAAAAAGTCATGTCCCATAGAGAATACACGCAAAATGCGAAAAATTGACATGCCTCCTTTAATCGCAAAAATACACCATGATACTTTTGTCAAAAATAAAAATTGTGAACATTACATTTGTAGAAAATTGTCTCAGCTAGAACATATCAAAATTAAAAAGAAAATTGATCCATATTTACAGAGATACAATCAATTTTCCAAAAATATGCTGACGTCATAATATGCAAATTAAAATTTTGAGTTTGGAGGCCATTATGATGACGTCATGAGTTAATTGAGGATCAAATGAGACATGAAATCATATCTCCGACTCATAATCTATCCAAATATGACAAAATATTAGGAGTTTCTATCTATTCTAAAGAGTTACAATGAATTTTATATAGGCATGTTTTTGCCCATGTATTGTGGATAAAGATAACGCAAATCCGCGCGTGCTGTCAACTTTGACGGACGCTCATTGCGTTAATAAAAGGTGAACAAATTATCAAAATGCTTGGAAAAATGTACCAAATATGATGACAGAAAAAATCGGCGATTCTATGTTGCAAAATGCCAGTACGCGCGAAAACGCGCGCGCATGCGCGTGTGCGTAATTTTTTTATCAAATGCTCCATATGGCCTGAAACGTATGCAAAAAAAATTTAGGATGATTTAGAGCATTTTTTATTTTTGTGCGCGCGTAAACGCGCGGACGAGCGCGCACGCGCGCATTTACGCACGTTTATTGACCTCAACTTGACCGGACGGATATTGATCTTAATCATGATAAATATGAATGAAAAATTATTATTCGTTATAAAGATATGATCATTAGTTGATTTTCACAAAATGGCGCCTGGATGACGTCACGATGACTTTGAGTCTTTGAAAAGTCACGCAGTTCTAAGTTAGACTAAGATCTATCATCATTGAAAGATTCATAACAATGGCTTCGTTCAGTCTTGAGATATCCTGCGAACAAATTCGAGGAAGAATAATAATAAATAAACTAGACTTTAATTCGTCACTTTGACGAATTAGGTGATACGTAGCTATTTTTGTATCATGAAAGTGTGCCGATGATGACCTAATGATAATATTCATTAAATTGATAATGACGATATTTGATTTGATTTTATTTTATTTTATTTCATTTATTGGTTTCTGCATCTTTTTCCTTTTTTTAATCATACATTTTCATGAACATAATATGGTTTGATACAATATTTTATGTGTATATAATTTTAAACAGATAACAAACGAATTTAAGCAAATATATTAAATGCATAATTTGTTGGTTTTAAATGACGATGACTATGATTAAAAGTGGTATAGCGCCCCCTTCAGGTATTCGATAGAGAATTGTTATATGATTAAACTATTAATTTACTAAACAAGCTCAAATTTTCGCCTGATTGCAGAGCCTACTACTCATTGAACTGATATTTCGACGTACTACATACGCAACATAATGAACAAGTCTAGACTGGAATGTAGTATCAATCACCTCCCATAGGCATAACACGCATATTAAGCAAAAATCTAACGACGTCATCAAAATGAATAAATATTGGTAATAATCTTGTGAAGAATTGTCTCAGCTACAACACAACAAAATTTAGAAGAAAATTGATCAATATTTGCAGAGATACACTCATTTTCCGTAAATATGTTGACGTCATAATATGCGAATTCGTATTTTGAGTTCTAAGGTCAATATGATTATGTAAAAATATACTTAATGGCCAAATGAGACATGAAATCATATATCTCCGACTCATACTCTATCTAAATATGAAAAAAGAAATGGCAGTCCTTATTCATCCCGATGTACTTTTTATAGGCATGTTTTTGCCCTTATATGCTATGTAATACATGAGCTAGCACGCACGGATATTTATCTTCAACGGACGCTCATTCCGTTATTAATAGTGATAAAGAGATGAACATGGTATCAAATTGTTCAGAAAAATATGAGGAATATCCTGTCAAAAAAAATTGAGGGGTAATTATTTTTCGTTCGGCCGTGACGAACGAAAACGCGCCAAAATGCGTGTTTTGCGCGATTTTTTATGAAATGCTTATAATGGCCTAAAACGTATGCAAAAAAAATTTAAGACGATTTTGAGCAATTTAAAAATTTAAGCGCGCGTAAACGCGCACATCTAGGCGTACGCGCATTTTTGCGCGCATTCATTGACCTGAAATTGACCGGACGGATATTGATCTTAATCATGATAAATATGAATGAGAAATTACTTTTCGTTATGACGATATGATCATAAGTTGATTTTCACAAAATGGCGCCTGGATGACGTCACGATAACCTTGAGTCTTTGAAAAATCACGCAGTTCTAAGTTAGACTAAGATTTATCATCATGGCAAGTTTCATGATTATGGCTTAATTCATTCTTGAGATATCCTGCGAACAAATTCATGGCAGAATAATAAAAATAATAAAGAAAATCTTGACGAAATCAAAAGGTGATACGTCTACGTACGTATCACCTAATTAATATCTTGCCAAAGCTAGTAGATTAGTGCCGCAACGGGACTCGGACCACAAACCATGTGATTCACGGTCTATCCATTAGACCACGAGACCTCTACACTATATTACATAATAAGTTTATTATAATGATTATAGCATTAATATTGATAACATTTATATCCTAAGCATGATAAGGAGGCACTGAATAGTCCTTTGAAGTAAAATAGTAAGATGTACACACAGAGAACAGTAAATGGAGAGAGAGAGAGAGAGAGAGAGAGAAAGACAAAAAGAGAGAGCTACGTATATATATGCATAGTTCCTATATGTTATTAAAATACCTGGGCATTTTCAGGAATAATATTAGTTACATCAGAGCAGTAGTTCGGGTTAGATGCAATACACACAAATTCTTATATGCTAGATGATCAACCTTTTCTGGTCGGTTCCACACCATTTCTTTCACAATGCAATCGCATGACCAGAACTCAACTTCATCTTTAAGGACGGCCCAAATGGCAAGGGGGACCCTTGCATTCTGGGTCGTCCTTAACATGTCATGAAATGATCTCTTTTCATCTCTATATAGGAGTGTAGATCTCTGTCTATCCAAACTATGTAATCGCAGATCATTCCATAAGATGTGAAGGACGGCCCAAATGGCAAGGGGGGACCCTTGCATTCTGGGTCGTCCTTAACATGTCATGAAATGATCTCTTTTCATCTCTATAGTATGAGACATAATCACTATATTTTTTCTCACAAAATTTGGAAAGTCAAGTTTGATTCATTATATTTCTCTTGATATAGCATAGCCACGGCTGTGTGTAATATTATTAGAAAGTGTATTTATTCTTCTTTAAAAGGATATCCCATTTGTTATGAAATAACAGTCATGGAATGTGCATTACATCAATATTAGGGGCTCGATCAAAAATGAAATTTCAAAATGCACCGCTCTTGATCGGGTGTGCATTCTTCTTTCTTTGAAGAGTGTGGGTATTCTGTACTGTGTAGTGCGCAGCATAACAATACCAGTGCTTGCCATTGCATTTTGCAACTTTAATTTTCATTTTGACCCTGCCCCTTATTCTGATGTACTGCTCATTCTATGGCTGCAAATTCATAACAAATTTTCAACAACAGATTTTAATTTTTAAATTGAAAAGTAGAGGTATCTGTGTACAGGCCATTCCCCTCCCCAAAACGTATGTGTGTGGGGAGGGGGTGTATTTCTCAATTCCCATGGGACTTACTCCCGCAGTA